GTCACTGCCCCACCGACACCGACGACTGCAGCGCCGACGGTGCCAATCGTCGGTCGGACGTGCGGCAAGCCCGAATGGAACACCGACTACTCTGGCAACGACATTTCCAACTTTGGCACGACCGGAGACTTTGACAGCATGCTTGGCCAATGCTGCGATGCGTGCCGGTCCAATTCCAACTGCGGCGCCTACACCCTCGCCGAAAATGTCTGCTACCTCAAGACGGCTGCTGGTGACCGCAAGCCGGCGAACGGCGCGACATCGGTGAGTGTGTTTGCGGTCACTGCACCACCGACTCCGACGACAGCCCTGCCGACGCCGACACCAGACCCGACGGGGTCGACCATTCGCAAGTGCGGCAACCCCGAGTGGAACACGGACTTTTCCGGCAGCGACCTCTCGGACTTTCAGGCGACCGGCGACTTTGGCGCGATGCTCAGCCAGTGCTGCGACGCGTGCAAGAAGAGCGCCAAGTGCAACGCCTACACGCTCGCTGAGGGTGTCTGCTACCTCAAGACGACAGCTGGCAACCGCAAGCCGACGCCGGGTGCGACCTCGGTTGCTGTGACCACCATCGCGTCGTAACGGATCCACCGTCGTGGTCTTGTCTGCAGTGTTGAAGCATGTGTTTCAAATCCAAAATGATTTTTCAATTCATTATGTCGTCTTGACAAACGGCACGCCCAGATCCAGCGTCGGCGACGACGTATCGAGTCTGTTGATCATGATCGGTGCGCCACTCAACCCAAAGGCCCAAAAGAAGTAGGGCGCCCCACGCATCGCATACAGTGGAGCCGTGTAGACGCCGTAGCGCATCACAAGCTCGTTCTGCACCCGACTCAACGTGACATTGCCGTACGCGTCAGCGGATACGTTGGCCACATACGTGCCGACAAGGGCGTCTTGGGTCGCGATTGGCAAGGGATCTGTCATCGCGCTCCACGGCTTCCCGCCAAAGACATGCGGATGACACGCACCCGGTGGTCGGCGAGCGTTGGCAAAGGCGATTTCAGCGGCGAGGTTGGCCTGGAGCGTGGCTTCCGGAACGTCGAGGAAGAGGCCAATGAGGTACGCGCGCATACGATCGAGCATGTACGTGTCGGCCACGGGCCCGCCCATGGCCTTGGCGTTGCTCAAGAGCACGACACCGAGCGCGTCGTCCGGGAGGAAGCCGTTGCGCGTTCGAAATGCCACCATGTCGCCGCCCTTGTCAAAGTAATTGTGGCCAAACATGACGTTGCCGACGACGTCAAAGCCGTAGCCCGCCGCCATGACGCCGCCGTCCGCGTGGTACGTGTAGCCGACCCCTGGTGCGCCGGGCACAACGCTGGTTTGGATGCCGTGGCCCGTGATCAGTGTCTCGACCGCATGCGGCGAGGAGAAGATGCCAGCCCCTTTTGCGAGGAGAAATTTCGAGAAAATGGCCAAGTCGGCCGGTGTCGACACGATCGAGCCCGCGGCAAACGCTGCGTTTTGGTAGCTGCTGAACGTTTCGATGGACGTCCGTAGATCGTACGGTCCAGCCACTTCGCCGTTACAGATGACGTGGCCGAACGAGAGGTCGCTGCCATTCTGCGGGACGTCCGGGACACTGCTGTACGTGTGGGTCATGTGGAGCGGCTGGAAGAAGGTTTTGTGAAGGTACGCAGGCCACGACATGTTGGTTGCGTGCGCCAGCACTTGGCCGAGAATGACATAGTTGATGTTGGCGTACGCGTACCCGGCGCGCAACGGACGCGACGTGACGTAGCTACGCAGCACCTTGACAGCGCCGACTTCATCCGGTTGCACGTGCATCGTCCATGCGACTTCGGCTTCGTTGGTTGCAAAGACCGAGTTCATGGCTGCGAGGTCGCCAAGCGTTGTATACTGCTCGGCGTACTTGTCGACGAGCTGAAACCACGGCAGACGGCGCTGGACCGGGTCGTCCCAGCTCAAGCGGCCTTCGTCGACCTAATCGCAAAGATGAATAATAAGACAATTGTACACTCAGTCAAACATGTACCAGCTTGGCAATCCCGAGCGCGATAAACGTCTTGGTGAACGACCCAATCTGAAATTGCGTGTTTTCCGTCACGACGTTCGCGGCGTTGCCAAACTAGCAGCGTGCGCTGACACGGATAGTAGGGAGTCGGTGGATACATACCTCTTTGGTACCAAACCCTTGAGCTAGAATCGTCTCGTTTTGGTAAACGATCGAGACGCCGAGACCCGGCACCGCATGCGTCGCAAGCTGCTCCTGTACAAAGGCAATGGCCATCGCCTTCTTCTCGCTTAGCGATCGCGGATGGGACGTGCTACCAAAACTGGCCCAGTCCAAGAGCACGCGGGCGAAGGGAAGCTGGAGGAGGAGGGCGACGAGAAGGTATGTCCACTGCATCGTGTCCACGCTGTGGCCAAAGGAAAAATGACTTGTCCTGTGGTCTATCGGTGTTGTAGTTGGCAGGAATGGTTTCTGATAATTCGCTGTTGGATGACCACAATCGCAACTCGAATCCACCACTTTCTGAAATCGTGCACCGGATTGTCAATGGGGATAAACATTCGTGATGCCCAATGTTTGTTTCTTGGTGTGTTGGCGATCGAGAACCTGCATTTGATTGTTTAAGTAGCGCTCTGGTCTATAACTACGGGAGACAACAAACATTCTACACTCTGTATTCTCTTGGTCACAAATGCACCTCCGGGCTAGCGCGGTTTTCAGCACGTTAGCTCGTTTCTCAT